CAAAAGATTTTAGGCGCCCGGGAATTTAAAATAGCACAACTGTCAAAATTACTGCACACGCGAGTGCATAAAGCAAAATTTATGCATTTATTTAATGCACAACAACAGTAATATGATCTATTAGCAATGCGATTTCAATTCCCAGGGGCCTAAAATCTTTTCCCCGAGCCGGCGGCGCGAAGCGCCGTGCGAGGGTACTAATTCCCCCCGGCTATTTACACCCGGGGAAACGAAAGCATTAGGGAAGTCTGAAGTTCATCAATGAGCGCGGGCGTCGGTCACCAACGATGGGTGGTCATCCTCACTGATCTCAAAAATATGGCGGACTGTCATTAAAAGCGGACACTGATTGGTCCAATTTAAAGTTTGCATTATAACGGCTGCATGACGACAGCGAAATAGCAAACATTTGACATTTCTTGATTTAATGAGTTGATGATTGATAAATTTCTTGCAAATATTCTTCATTTTTGCTCGTATTTCTGCAAGATTTTGTAAATTTCAAGAAAGAAAGGGCGAAAGAATCAGCTAAAAGAAGGGAGCCGACGTTAACAAAGGTAAGTTTGTTTTAAATATTGATTTTATAATGGCTTTAAAACCCGACGGCCTTTGCGTATATGAAACAACAAAACAAGACAGCATATAATTTCAGTGTATCTTTAATATTGATTCCCTTTTTTATTATATTGAATTTTTTAAATAAAAATAAAGCAAAGTTATTTGCAAGCGAGAATTTGAAATCATTTTATTGCAAAACTAAAAGTTTATCGATAAAGCCATTTAATAGTTAAAGGCAGTTTAGTTTTATAAAGAACACTTTAAAACGCTTTGTGAATCGGTTTGTGGTTGAATTTTACCTTAAATTGAAGCTTGTATTACGTATAATTACATACTTAACATATATATGTTGGGAAATTGATAATTTTGTAATTAAAAGTGATATTTTTAAGCGATTTTCATTTGTAAGAATATTCTTAAAAAATTATCGTGTTACCATGACAACTACTCTAGATACTTCATGTTCGGAAAATACAACGTTTTTGTCAGCAAGGCGAGGGTTTCTGCATGCATGTATTTTCTAGTATGCTTAAGAATTGCGAAGTGATTTCTTAGGAAATTCCGAGGTTGCGTTTTTTTTATACACCCTGTATAGTCGGCATATGGAGAATTGTTAGTTGCAGCTTGGTGCAACAAAATGACTAGTCTAACCAAGAATGTAAATGTTATTGTTGCAATTCGGCCAATAATACGTCCTCATTCAGCTCACGTGTTTGTTTGTATATGAAAACCCGGTCTAGATTAGACTCTTAATATATTCAAGTGGGCATGCAGGGCTTTGAAGCTGAGGGAAATTGAGGGGTTAAATACAAATATGCAAATTTAAATTTGCAAATATTTTCTAAATACAGTAAATTTAGAATTTTTTTCTAATTTTGTTCTTATGGCTTAATTTAAACGGATTTACATCATCATTAGCTTGCTTGTTTTTACGCTTGCTTTGCCACTCTTCAACGAACGGCCCACCAATTTTTGCACATCGTACTACGTTTCTTACATTTTCAATAGTGTGTCAACACTTTCCGGCTTTTGAGACCGCTTTTTCTTATAAGAAGATGCCATGCATTTTTGCTAACAAAATTAATTCATTTATTGAAAGCGACCAAGGGGAACTGTTTCGAATGCTTCGTTACACTTCATGCAAACTTTCAAGCGAATGTAATCGTTAACGTCCCACACTCACTTTTTTGAATATCTAATAATTTCGTGCCTCATTGCTATAAATCTGTTATGATGTGTGAGAAGCAATTTCAAATGTCGTTAGTGTTTTAAACGTGGCTTCCAAATCCCCAATGCCATGAACAATTGCTCGGCTGCACCTCGCCATTGTTCATGGCACTTGTATTTTGAAACCACGTCTATAACACAAACTCGGATTTGAAATATTACTTGGCTATTGGTATGAAGCCAGGGCTCATATATGCGAGAAGGTTATAACTCTATCGGCCGAGTACTGATAGATTTTGATAAGAAATTTACTGCAACGTCGTTCAAATTATTAGCTGCTTTACTACTTTCCGATTCTTTCGTTGCTTCATCATCTGAATCATATTCGGACAGTTAATCGACATTCTCGAAAACAACTCTTTCACCGACAGGATTTTTTCTCATACATGTTTAGTAGAAGAGTACCAGAAGCATGTTTAGTGTTGTTTTGTCGCTTAAAGGAATACCGAATGGCGAATGGTTTGCGTGATCCATGCACGAGGGATGTCGCGAGACTTTCGGAAAGCGCCGTAAAATACTCGAGCCGCAGGCGAGTGTAGTTTTACGCTTTCCGAAAGTCGAGCAACATCCCAAGTGCATGTATCACGCTATCCCGCTTGAAAACCATTTGGTAGTTGTTTTATAAACTAACTACAGTGAAACAATGACATTTTGAGAATCCCGAGAAAATCCCGGGGAGGCATTTTAATTCCTCATGCAGGATAGCCTGATCCTGCACGGCTATTGACCAATCAAATTGCGTGTTTCACTGTATAGTTATTATATAAAGTTCGTTGCCTTACGGCTTGACCATACTCTTGTTCCCATTCCCGCATAACGACTTCATTACAATACACTCAGTGACATTTTGTTAGCAGGCAGCTGAGCCATTCTAGGAATATCTTTCAGGACAAGCCTGTTTTCAGGGACAGGTTAATTATTACGATTTGTGGTGAGGAAAGTAGTAGGTTGCCAAAAGCGAAGTACGCTTTAAAGACTCGTGCATGACAATTCCAATTCCATTTCCATTCCATTTGCGTATTCAAGAGGTGCACATGTGGGGTGCTTAAAATGACTGACAGCCAGAGTTGTAGACTCGAGTCGTGTGACTTGGACTCGAGTCGGACTCGAGTCGCAATTTTTGTGACTTGTGACTTGACTTGTTAAAGAGACTGATGACTTGTGACTTGACTTGGACTTGGACAAAATGACTTGTGACTTGACTTGGACTTGCAAGAAATGACTTGTTACCAACGCAAGTCAAACGTAAATATCTAGTGAAACCAAGTTTTCCAAAATCTTTGTGTTGATCGATTGATCGTCGTGTTGTACAATTTGGGCAACGATCTTAGTACATATCAATGGCATCGACAGAATTTGTGCCGGCGTATTTTCTGACAAAGCGTTTTTTTTCGCGATTTCATGGTAAAATTTCTGACATAAAATAACGACGTCATATTTACATATTTTGCCGTTTTGCGTGGGAAAACATGGCCCACATGTGGCGATAAAATGACTTGTGACTTGATTTGAATTGACTTGCCACTCGGAATGACTTGTGACTTGACTTGACTTGGATTTAGACAAAATGACTTGTGACTTGACTTGAACTCAGACCAAATGACTTGTGACTTGACTTGGACTTGCAGGAAATGACTTGTGACTTGACTTGGACTTGCAACATAGGACTCGTTAACAACTCTGCTGACAGCATGAACTGACTCTGCATTTTGTCCAAGACCTTTACCTGGCGCGATTTGTTTCAGGTCATTTAATTCAGTTATTTATGCTTCACAAAAGCTTGAATTCCGTGTGAATATCATAAATCGGTATACTAAACTTCGCCTTGTTATAGCTTGTGCGCTTGTTTTTCCACATTGCCTAGGCTGTCTGGAGTTCGCAGAAGGTTCATATGCAAAGAATGAAACAAGTACTATCACATCAACTTTTTCGAAGATGAATGTGAAGTTTCGGTTTCATATTAATAACAATCCACAACACTATACTCATAGCGATAAAAAGAGATGAAATAGTAAAAATCATGAAGTAAAGTCTCTGCGTATGACTATATGGCAATGTTTTCCATGACTTTCATAACCTGTCATTGATGCTTTGAAGTCCGCCAGTTTGTACATTTGAACACGCGCTTGCTCGGACTACTATCGGAGAAGGGAGCTCTCGGAATTAGGCAATACGAGTTGATATGAGTTTGCGCAACTTTGTTCTAAGCGACTTCGACAAGTAAATTTTCAAGGAAAAAATAATTGTTATAAAACAACATTTTCACAAAATTTTGTTGCCCAAATCACGAGTCACGCACCTAATAACAAGTAAATCACGCATCACGTTCAACTTTGCATTCACAATTCACGGTTCCGATCGAGTTCTTTCACGATCATTTAAGAGATAATTTAAGCACTAATCACGCGTCACGCATTACGCCTTTGCCACCCACTACAATAGCGAGGTTTAGCAAAGACGACGCGACGTCAAAGACGACGTGAAAATGGCGTAAAAATGGCGTAGGCACATCCATAGATGGGCATGTCACGCCATTTTTACGCCATTTTCACGTCGTCTTTGACGTCGCGTCGTCTTTGTTAAACCTCGCTATTGACATCAGTAAAGAGCTGATATAGGCTGAATAGCTTGCAGGGAAATCCGATCACCAATGAGCGAGAAACTCAATAAACTCAGAATTTGTACCTGTGGACGGAAGGCGTATTAGCAGCAAAATATTTACAGGATACAAGCAAATTCGGACAACGAACTGATACAAATGAATCCGAATACGTGTGGACGGGCCTTAGCCACGGAATTATTATCCCAGCTCGACAGAAAGGCGAGAGAAGGGAACGCGTGCACCGTCTCTCAAGAGGGTTCGAAGTAAACAGAACTAGAACTGAAAGAAATGTTTAAGCAACCTCGTACCCAGGGTATTTCCTCTTGGTGAGGGGAGAAAATACCCTGGAAGACGCTGGTCACTTGATCTGCTAAAATCTAGCAGATTTTTAATTAGCAATCCAAGATGAGGTAATGAATAGTTAATATTTTGATCATTTTTATAGTTTAATTTATATAATTAAACTTTGAATGATTACTGTAAAGGAATCCAAGATAGTTAATTAGAAATCTGCTAGATTTTAGAAGTCACGTGACCAGCGTCTACCAGGGACTTTTCTCCACAACAAGAAAGATCGTGGGTAAGTGGTTAATGTTTAAGGATTAAAACTTACCGACACAGGTCGGACTCGCTGCAGACCAGCTTCCGTCACTCTGACAAGTTATTCTTCTTGAACCTCTTAACTGATAACCAGAATAACATAAAAATTCTGTTTGTTTTCTTCCGCAGTACCTTGAATATGCAATTATTCTTCCATTTGTAGGGTGATGCAACTCGCTGCATCGAACAGCTAAATATTGTAAAATAGTGAATACTGCAAAAACAATTTTACTAAAAAATTCTTGCGTAAAACAATACACCAACAGTGACTCATAATATTGAGTAAAATTATTCAAATTTATGTGCAAATTATCTTATTATTCTTTTTAGTAAAGTAAATCTTAAACTCAAAAGATGAAGTAAATTTGAAATTTTACTAAAAACGTTTGAGTAAATTTTCTCATAAATTTGAGATATTTTACGCAAAGTTTGAGTGACTGTTGGTATAATTATTATACTCAGGAACTATTTGCAGTGTTACTGTATCTCAGTAAAATACGATAGCATATGGGGCTGTCCAATTCAGGATTTCAGAGACTATTTTCTAAAACTTAATTCATTTCTATTTGGACAAATACAAAACTTTGAACTTCAGCTGTGTTGTCTGTAGAATACCCTGGTTCCACAGGTTTAAAATAAACCTCTGGTTGAAAGCGGCAATTGATTCATCGAGCCGCGCCAATCAGTTCGAATTAGGATGATTGGATGATTGTATTAAAGCTCTCTGATTGGTTATAGATGTTTTATTTGAATCAATCAGAGAGCTTTAATACAATCATCCAATCAAGAGACAGAGTCAGGATCTGACCCTAATTCAAACTGATTGGCGCAGCTCGATGAATCAATTGCCGCTTTCAACCAGAGGTTTATTTTTCCTCTCCCTTTCGCAATGAAAATAATAAAAATAAACCTCTGGAATCAGGGTATCTATAGAACAGCATTTCTCGCATTCTAAGACGAGTTTTGAAGAAAGACTATCATCCCGAAACCCATAACATATCTCAGCGTTAATCCAGACATAGCCCCTCCTCACATTTACCCGGATTTCATTTTTTCACAAGAACAGTACTGGCGGTTATGACGAGAGACTCACACAACCGCCATGGCTATTCCACTGTTAATTTATGGAAATCATTCGGCGCTAAAGTAGAAAATTGCTGCAAACTGAAAACTCAGGAGTAAAAACGAAAAAGTGATTTCCACGAAGCTTACCAGTGCATGTGGGTTGACGACCCGACCAGCTATGATCAGATTGACATGTTCTATTTGGGCTACCTTTAAGTTGGTAGCACTGATCACATGAGAAGTGGAGCGTTTTTCCAACTTGTAGAATTCCTTTCTTGTTTCCTCTCCATGGCGTGCCTGGATCTTGACAACTGTTGACTGTAAGAATAAACTGCTTTAAGTCTCAACCTCGTACCCAGGGCATTTTGCTTCCGGTCAACGAAAATGGCCCTGGTATCGGCCGGTCACATAACTTCAAAATCTCCAGTACTTGGGGTGTTCAATTATGATAATTTATGCGTATAAGTACGTATATAGAATAATTACATACATTTTAATTATTATAAGTAAACACTCTTAATGCAGCGTTATCGGTGAGAAAGAAACAAAATAAGTTGATTTTATTCGGTTTACACCTCTGCATCCAGCAACATAGCCCGTCATATTGATGACTTTTAAACATATTCAGGGTCTGGTTAGCCTGTGATTAAATTCTTAATGAACAACCAAACCGCTTCAGCCTTTGCTTTATATAAATCGTGTTATGAGCAAACATATTCGTATCATAATCTTTATTTGATTATCACGCTGTATGTTTCTTGAAATCAAAGATGTATAAACGACGCATGTGAGAAATGTATGTTGAACCGAAGTAAATACTTCTTTATACAAAATGTACAAACTTTAAGACTTAGCTAATTTGGACCAAATAGTTCCACCAAAATAATTATTATTGAATGTAAGTACTCAAAATTCAATCATATTAATATGTGGTAATATATAGAATTTTGATTACTTACATTCAAAATCATTGACCAATGAAGTTGCAAAACAGACCAGCCAATGCCAGGGATTTTTTCGCTGACCATCCAACCGCGGGAGCAAAAAACCCTGGGTACGAGGTTGTTTAAGTCTCAATCTTCGTAGGACAAATAGGGTATAATGGGTTTTCGTATGTGATATTTTCGAACGTAAATATATTTTATCCACTTTTACACCTAAGCAGGAACAGTTGGGAGAAATGGAACTACAGTAGAAGCCGTCTGGCAGGAATCGAACCCGTGGTCCTGTTATTCCGCTGCATCTCTCTAAAGGTGTATAGAAATTTGCGTTCGAAAATTCCATCTACGAGAAGCAATGGAAAATGCCCAGAATTTCGACATTTATCCATATACCTTCTACTGCCAGCACTCCATTATACATGAATCATTCCGTGGTAATGCTCAGAAACTGGATTCTGTTGGTCAGACCGCTGCAACGGAATCACAGGGCCGAATCGCTAGTTCTATAAATTAAAGTGTGTAGAAGTTTACGTTCGAAAATTCCATCTCCAAAAAATTTATGTGTACTATTGGTGTCTATACTGGCCCTACGGTAAATGGATCACCTTCAATTAAGGATTGAACTGGTCAGAAAAACGTTATCCGTAGTCATAGTCGATACATATAGTCAAACAAGGTAAGGTCTGGAAAGTCTGCGAATATTTTATTGTGTATGTTTATGCAAACCTATCAATGGGGAAGACAATATCCTTTTGGCATCATCTCGTTGAATGACTCAAGCGTACTGTGGAAACGCCACTACGCTTTTTCGTCTATTCAGCAGCAATCTACGGGCGTATTTTTTCCCAGTGGCTTTAGACTGGAGGTTTTAATAAATCATTATATACATAAACAAACTCCGCAAGCAAGCCGTTTGTAGTGACTAGACGGCCTGTATACTAGATAATCGGTCGTCACGAATAATCTATCTGTTTGCTACAGAATACTCTATGCCAGTCGTGCCACAGAGTATAGATAATATGGAGGTCCGATTAGGTATAATCCCCGTTACCGGCTGCAAGATAGTGCGCAATGGGAGGCATTTACCCTCCTGCGCTGCGCTAAACGTCTAAAACAAGCCTATAAATTTGACTGTTTTCGAGGAGGATGACGGCCTCTCCCATCAAGCGCACTGGCTAGGAACATGGCGGCCGGTTACACTAGCCGACATCAAAACCGCCGACAAGAAGTCGGACTTCTAGGTAGTATATACTCTGTGTCCTTACGTTCACAAACTGGTTCGTTTCCTGTCCACGTGCCATTGCCCTGACAACGTCTCTTGGGTGATCCATTCAATTGGTAGCCATACCAACAATTATATTGTACAATACTGTTACACTGCTGTGAGTTGAAGGTCAGATATCCATTGACTGGATATTGAAGCAAGCTACATGTGACAGCTGTAAGATAGAAAGATTTATTATATAGTAGAGAGTGAGATACTGAAAAATGCACAGCGAGATATTTTCCATATCTTCACTATAGTCATATTTAATATTTTGGATTAAATAAACAATAACAATTTGTAACCGACTATATCAAGACAATTATTCAAAAAATGGAAAATTCACGATTTAGATGCGTATTTTTAGACATTTATTACTTGTCGATGAACAAAAAGTACCTTATTTATCTGCCTCGTCCCCAGGCGCTAATAAAAAATTTCATGCGAGTCACTATATGAAAGCTTTACATGAAGTAGTGCACCGCGACGAACAAGCGCAGGGAGTTATGGGCTTGAGGCATCGAAAATTGAGGAGCGCCTGGGAGATCTTGTGCCGTTTCTTGCAAAATTCGCCTGTTTCTTGCAAATCGTGGTTTTTCGACAGTTTGGGGGCTTTTTTCGCCATTTTTTTTTGAGGAAACAACATTTGAAATTGTTCAATTAAACATGTGATTACAGTCAGATGATATTTTATATCATTTAACGCTTTAAATGATTCCGAGATGTCAACACTTGAAGAGTTCAACGAGGCTATATAAGCCGTTTTATATAATAAATTTACAAGGTATGGAAAAGTGACAGTGCATTTTTATCACAATGAGCAATATATATATATATATATATAACAATTCAAGTTTTCTTGATATAATGTAGATTGCTCAATACTTTTTAGTACAGCTAAATTTATTTAATTATTTATGAAAAAATTTAAATTTATTTAATTATTTATTTAATTTATTTATTTAATTATTTATTTACATTTTTTTAATAAATAGATACATTTTATTTTTTTATAATTATAATATTTATAATTTATTTATAATATTATTTATTGTTTCTTTTGTTTTGTACTTTATTTCATATATATATATATATATATATATATATATATATATATATATATATATATATATATATATATATATATATATATATATATATATATATATATATATATATATGTTAATCAATCTCCAACAAGACAAACAAAGCAAAACGTCGATCAACATACAAAGCTTCTGTAGACTTTAATAACCTTGAACCTGCATGAACTTAAAAATTTTGAATCTCTATCTAACTTTAAGACCTAATTAAAAAGACACAGTGTGCATAGCATGTGGCAGTGGACCTCTCTTTATCATCTGTCTTCAAATCTTTCTTTCTTTAGTTTTGTTCAAATTTCTCTTTTTCTTTATCCACTGTGTTTCCTTTCCTCTACTCTTTCATGTTACTTCTTGACTCCCCTCAAATTTTACTTGCTATAACTTGCTATAGCCTATATATACAAATATTCATGTAAATTGTATTGTTATATAGTTAGTGCCAACGTTCAATTTTTCTGTTTGCCGATTGGTCAAAACCGTGTCACGTGCCGGTCCACAAAACGTCATGTTCGGCAACCGGTCCACAATCAAACATATATTGACCGGTCAATAATAAAATAGGTGCAATGCGCATGCGTGTCAACAATGAAGTTCCGAAATTCATTTTTTAAACTTTTTACTAAACATTTACGGCGTTCCATTTATCCAGTTTTGGTTTCAAATTAAGTTCATTCCAATAACCGGTGAATTATTTATACTTTGACACTTATACTGTATACTATATAACAAAACACTTATTTACTGAGACCTCGGGAAAGCAGCGTGTTTTGAAGACTGTTTCCCTCGATCTCAGTAAATAAGTGATAATTATATACCGTACATGAATTGTAAAAGATGTACGTTTTCAGTATGGTACATCTAATTTATAATTGCAGGACCCCACTGAAAAACACTGTCAGTGGTGATGTGGGTATCCTGGCTAAAGAAAAAGATAATAATAATAAAGTGCGCTTTAAAAGTATACAAATTCGATATCACGAACATGGATTTTGAAGAAAATCTGCAGGTTTGCCCTGGTAAAATTTCGCCAGCATAAATGACAACAAAGGTAATCCTGTACTTACGTTCACATGTAGGTTGAGTGGCAGTCCATCGCTCATCAGCTTGACATTGTCTATTAGCAGGTCCTATCAATTTATAACATTGATCACAAGAGTAATAAATTTTCTCTCCAATCCTGAACGGGCTATACAATCCTTTCACAATCCCATTTTTTTGGCTTTCAGGTTCCGGACAACTTTTTTCTGAAAAGAAAATGCAACATAATTATGGTATTTTAGTCAACACGTTCATTTGTTCTGTTCAACTGCAATTTACATTTATCATCGCCATACTGTATACTTAATCTTTTAAAACTAAATGATGCTCTTTCAAGGAAGTGCAGTTCTACACAAAATGTGCCGTTCAAAATCCATTTGTGTCAGTAGTTCTTAAGATACAATGTTATTCATACATCTATTTATTTATTAAGTTTGCCAAAAATGTGCTTGTCGATTTCCCAGTGGAATCGCCAGCCTAAAAATGCCAAATAGAGCCATTGAGCATCAAAAATATAAACATAATCTGGGGGAGGACTCCACATCCCCCCCCCCCATTTGCTTCACAAATCACTGGCGGAAGCCGCATCCACAACAAAATGTTTGCAGGACACAAACGAATTCGCACTATACGATCTGATACAAACGAACCCGAATAGTTGTGGACGGGGCCTTAGCCACGGAATTGTTATCCGAACTGGACAAGAAGGTGGGGGAAGGGGACTCGTGCTCCGCCTTTAACTAAAACTGAAAGAAATGTTTAAGGAATAAAACTTACCGACACATGTTGGACTCACTGCAGACCAGCTTCCGTCACTTTGACAAGTTATTGTTCTTGAACCTCTTAACTGATAGCCAGAATAACATAGAAATTGTGTTTGTTTTCTTCCGCAGTACCTTGAATATTCAGTTATTCTTCCATTTGTAGGGTGACGTAACCCGCTGCATCGCACGGCTAAATGTCGTAAAACAGTGGAAACGGCAAACAAATTTGACTAAAAAAATTGTTGCGTAAATAATGCACCCGCAGTGAATCATAGAGCAAAATTATTCAAATTTACCAGCAAATTATTTTTTAGTAAAGCGAACCTTATATAGAGTTCAAAGAAAGAGTAATTTCATATTGTACTAAACAATTTGAGTAAATTTGCCCATAGATTTGATAGATTTTACGCCAAATTTGAGTGACTGTTGGTGCGTTATAACTATTCAGTGAAACTGCTGTATTTCAGTAAAATATGATAGCAACTGGGGCTGTCCAATACAGGATTTCAGACTGAGACTAACTTTCCAAAAAGTAATTCAATTCCATTTGGACAGATACAAAGCAAATTTTCTTTAATTTTAACAGTGCCACATGCAACCAGGTTCGTGACTTTGGCAGTGGGAGTGGGGAGAAAGCAAACATAAATTCCAAACACACGAACACTAATAACTCTAGGGGTGTCCGACGGGCACTCTCTACCACAGAAATTTTGAATTTCAACATTGTTCTCTACAACAGCATTTCCAGATTTCGCATTCCGAGACGAGTTTTGAAGAAAGTCTATAACGCCGAAAACCCGTAACATATTTTATTGTTATTCCAGAAATAGCATTCCTGCACCTATTTTTTGCACGGATATCAGATTTTCACAAGAGTAGTACTGTAGATTAGGACGGGCGGAGGAGAGGGGGACACCCAACCGCCATGGTTAAAGTTGCTAAAAACTGAAAACTCAAGAATAAAAATGCAAAACTGAAACCAATAAGCTCACCAGTGCATATGGGTTGGCGTCCCGACCAGCTTAGATCACATTGACATGTTCTATTTGGGCTACCTCTAAGTTGGTAGCACTGATCGCACGAGTAGTAGAGCGTTTGTCCAACTTGTAGATTTCCTTTCTTGCTACCTCTCCGTGGTGTGCCTGGATCTTGGCAGATTTTAACTGTAAGAAAAAACTGCTTTAAGTCTTTAGTGGGTATTAAATATCAATATTTAGGGCATCTGGTTGGTAGAACACAATAAATAGAGTATGAGTTTTCGTAAATGGAATTTTCGAACGTAAATTGCATACAATTTTAGACCTATAACCAGAAACAGATGAGGAAATACAACTACATGTTACGAGAACGCATATACTATTTGTTTTATCGAAATACATGCCCAAAAATTACGAGATTTTTCCAACTGGCCTTCTACTGCCATCACTTCTTTATACATATACATGAATTTGTGGTAGTGTTTATAAACTGGATGTTGTAGTTCAATTTGTTAGAGCATTGCAACGGGATTCTGATGTACTGCTAATTTAAGTAATATCTACTGGCCTTACAGTATATGCATGGATCATCTTAATAATGATCGAACAGCTAAAACACATCATCCATAGTCATAGTCGACACCAGGGCCTGTTTAGACATACAAACTGGTGTGTGTGGCAAATGCCCCCCCTCCATCCCCCATTGTGCCCCCCCCCCTACCATGAAATCACATTTTGCCCCTCTTTTTCAAAAATTTATACAAACAAACCAGCGAAGAATAACAAATAGATAAACATCAAGTCAGTTTTAGGCTTTTTCCTTTGTCTCTGTTTAACAAAATCGATTTAAATTGTTACGTTTGTGTTACGTGCGTTTTTTCCTTCTTTTATTTCAAATACAAGTAAAGTTGGCATAAATTTTAAAGCAAATTTGGATGCTCGGAATGCAGGAAATAGCATTTCCGGGCTTCACATTTCAAAAATTTTCTGAGAGAGTATGCCCCCAGACCCCCCTATTCATGCGTAGTATGTCGGCCATACACGTGGCCTTCAGCCATTGCTATCCCCCTCTAAAATATTATCTCACCGAAAGGTCCCTTTTCAAAAATGATCCCTCCTTCCCACGGAAAAATCCTCAAAAAAGCCCTGGTCGACACATATTCAACCAGGATGCATCTGGAAACTCAGCGAAGGTCTTTTTTCCATGTTTATACGAACGAGTGCATGGAGAAGATAATGTCTATTCGGCATCATCTTGTTGAATAATTGAAGCGTACTGTTTTAACGCTAATACTGTATTTCCTCTATTCAGCAGCCATCTATGGGCTTATTTTTCCAGTGGTTCAGGACAAGAGGGTTATTAGAAGTGCTCGAAATGCTGCAAGCTGGGGGTCCTTATAGCTTAAAAGGAGAATCGTCAGCCGAGAAGCATTTGGAGAAATTTTCTTATAATTTCCATATACAGTATATAAGAGAACATTTTATACACAGCATTGTGTTCTTGAAATTTAATTAATAGAGTATGGGGCTAAATAGAGGGCAGGGGCTTACCGTTCTATCGCTTCTGCTCAAGATCGATAGCGATGTTTTTTGTGTTTCGTCCAGTACGTAACATACAGTATACACACAGGCGTATTGTGTGTATAAAAATTATCCGCGAGTAAGTCCGTCTGCATAGTGACTAGACGGACCGTATATTACATAGTCGGTCGTCACCTATAATCCATCTGTTTTCTACATTATACTATATGTCAGCCTTGGCGCAGAGTATACATGATACAAAGGCCCGACTCAACAAAACACCCATTACCGGTTGCAACTTAGTGCGCTAATGGGAAGCAGTCACCCCCCTCCCTGCCATGCACCGAACATCTAAAAACAAGCCTACGATTTTGACTGTTTCCGAGGAGGGGGACGCCCCTACTTAGCGCACTGGCTAGGAACATGGTCAATAGTCTGTGTCCTTACGTTTACAAACTGGTTCGTTTCCTGTCCACATGCCATTTCTCTGACAACGTCTCCTCGGTGATCCATTCAAACGGTAGCCACAATCACAGTGGTATTGTACAGTATTGTTACACTGCTGTGAGTTGGAGGTCACATACCCATTGGCTGGATTTTGAAGGAAGCTACATTTTACAGCTGTATGATAAAAAGATATATATTAATATAACTAGTCATTTATAAAAATCGGTTGAAGAAATTTTTTAGTAGGTTAGTAATCCGTTTGCATAAACGTGCAAATTAAACGTTTACTTTGATTTTCAAGCGGTGTTCGAGTTATTGGTGTTCCAAAATGTGAAAAATAGGGCAAAAACGGAAAATAGGGCAAGCTTCTTGGCAGGAGCCCACAAGACATTTGAACGCCGCCGATATACAGAAATGTAAGTGTACTTTGGAAAAGAAGCCTAAATCGCATAAGGTAACCTTATTGACAGAGAACTATCCTTAGAGATTATAATATACCACGCTAACCTTCAGGGCCGGGTCTGTTTTGAGAGTTCGTCCGTTTGCCATACTATACAAAGTGTAGAGGGATGTCGGGTGGTTGTTGTTGACAAAATTGTGCTGGAAAAATGTTGTATTTTTCCACCCGTAGGACTGCATTTCGTACGTTTTCTGAAACATGTTTTTGGATTATACAGCGTAACATTATACTGCAGAAAGACCGAACCTTCAGTTAATTAGTGGTATGTTTATGTAAATACCCCAACGTGTCCACTAACTTGTTTAGCCTGGCCTTCCGACAACTCAAATCAATAGGCTCAAAATGTAAGGTATTTGCAACACAATGTTAACGTTTAGCATTTTTAAAAAGACATTGAATTATTTGAAGTTAAAAGACATGACATAAAATTACCAACGCAAATTTCAGTTACCAGATGATTTTCTTCCAACATTTTTCTAGTATTTTAGAGAAAAGGTGTGGGAGGGATCAAAATGGTTGAGTGCGGGGGCACAATTGGAGGGCAGGGGAGTTATGTCCTCCCAGTTATTATAGTTAAAAAAGGCCTTGATAACCCATGCATAAGCTAAGTGCGTTTTGTCTGCAAAATACGATATCTATACAAATGTTGATGGAAATCTGCCCCATTAGCCATAGGCACTTTCTCCAACATAAATGACACCCAAAATATGCCTACATTCACATGTAGGTTGAGTGCCAGTCCATTTCTCATCAGCTTGACATTGTCTATCAGCAGGACCTTTCAATTCATAACATTCATCACAAGTGTAATAAATTTTCTCTCCAAACCCAAACAATCCTTTCACATCACCATTTCTAGGTCTTCCAGGGTCCGGACAATTTTTCCCTGAAAACAAAATGCAACACCTGTGGTATTTTAGTCAACGCGCTCATTTGTTCTGCTCAGTTCAACATTATATTTGTCTCTGTGAATGGTGTCAATTAGTATTGCGCTAATACTACTGAACTTTATCCGCTAAAATTAAATTATGTTCTTATTGGAGGTACAGTTCTACACAAAATGCGCTATTCAACATCCATTTGTGGGGTTCTGAAAAGAGGGTCTAGATTGAGGTGGTCTGAAAATCAGTAAACGGTAAAAATTTTGGTTTTTAACGGTAACAATAAGGCTAACATTTTCCTATTTTAACGGTAAATCTTTGAAAAGTGTTCTGAAACGATAAACAGTATTTTTCCCTCACGATTCACGCTAAATTTTTAGTGTTTTCATGACGAACGGTAACCGAACACCCTCTTAAAATGCAACTGCTAAAGAAAATGTAGAATACAATGTTATTTATTTCATTATTTATTAATTTTGCTAAACAATGTAATTATCCATCTCCATTTGGATGCTCCAATATGAACATACCAGAAAATCAACCACTGAGCATAAAAAAGATAAACATTTCCAGATCTCCTTAATTTCTTCGAAAATCACTCACGGAAGGCGTATTATTAACAAAATGTGTCCAGGATACAAACGATTTCGGACTACGATCTTACACAAACGAATCCGAATATATACGTGTGGATAGGCCCTTAACCACGGAATTGTCATCCCAACGTACTGGACAAAATGGTGGGGAAGGGGACGCGTGCTCCGCATCTCAAGCGGCTTCGAAGTAAACAGATCTAGAACTGACAGACATGCTTTAGGATTAAGACTTACCGAGATGTACACAGGTTGGACTCGCTGCAGACCAGCTTCCGTTACTTTGACAAGTTATGCTTCTTGAACCTTTTAACTGATAGCCAGAATAACATACAAACTCTGTTTGTTTTCCCCCACAGTACCTTGAATATGTTATTATTCTTCCATTTGTAGGTTGACGTAAGCTGTTGCATCGAGCGGCTAAATATTGTGATTAAAAACAGTGTACAGTATACTGCAAAAAGTTTTGTTTTACGCAAAATTTGACTTACTGTTGGTCCAGGGAATTTTTGCGGTGATACTGTATTTCAGTAAACTCTGACAGCAACTAGGGATGTCCAATTCAGGATTTCAGAGACTAATTTTTCAAAAATTAATTATTCAACTCCATTTGGACAAATACGTACAGAACAATTTTATTTAGCTTTAATTAACAGCGCAGCAGCGACTGTCCTGACTTGGAGAACTGAGAACTCTACGCACTTCAGGCAGTTTAAGCAATTTACGAGAAGTAATTAAGGACCCTAGGCGTGTTGTAGCGGCACATCCTTACGAAAATCAACACTATTTTAACCCTATTTTATCCCTATTTTACTTTCTATTTTATTCCTATAGAAAAGCTATTTTATTTTTAACCCTATCATATTGCTATCACATATACAAATCCTATATTAAACTTATTAGAACTCTGTTTTAATTGTATTTTATGGCTATTATAAATAGGTTTTTTTGAAACAAAAAATAGCCTATTTTAAATAGATTTTATTTTTCTGAATCGGTGAAGCACAGATTAAAATAGGTTTAAAATAGGATAAAATATATTTAAAATAGAGTGCAAAATAGAAATAAAATAATAAAGTAAAGTGAAATATTGGTAATAAAATAGATTTTAAATATACATAAAATAGGTAAAAAATAGTCGAAAATACATATAAAATAGTGGATCAACTGCAGTATATTAACTAAAAATAGTAATAAAATTACTGCAAAAATAGTAATAAAATAGTTTAAAAATATGAATAAAATACTGATAAAACAGTAATAAAATAGTAGAATTTAAAATAGTGATAAAATAGCGAACAAAATAGTAAAAAAATAGTTCAAAATTCTTATAAAATAGTATAAAAATAGTAATAAAATTGTAATAAAATAGTCGAGAGTCATAACAGTTCTAAAATGATTAATAAAATAGTTATAAAATAGTCAGAAAGTAGTAATAAAATAGTTATAAAATAGCAATAAAAGAATAGTAAAATAGTCATAAAATAGCAATAAAATAGTCAGAATGTAGCAATAAAATAGTTATAAAATAACAATAAAATACCTAATAGTATATAAAAATAGTAGTTTATCCCTATTTTACTTTCTATTTTATTCCTATATATAGAAAAGCTATTTTATTTTTAACCCTATCATATTGCTATCACATATACAAATCCTATATTAAACCTATTAGAACTCTGTTTTAAATGTATTTTATGGCTATTATAAATAGGTTTTTTTGAAACAAAAAATAGCCTATTTTAAATAGATTTTATTTTTCTGAATCGGTGAAGCACAGATTAAAATAGGTTTAAAATAGGATAAAATATATTTAAAATAGAGTGCAAAATAGAAATAAAATAATAAAGTAAAGTGAAATATTGGTAATAAAATAGATTTTAAATATACATAAAATAGGTAAAAAATAGTCGAAAATACATATACAATAGTGGATCAACTGCAGTATATTAACTAAAAATAGTAATAAAATTACTGCAAAAATAGTAATAAAATAGTTTAAAAATATGAATAAAATACTGATAAAATAGTAATAAAATAGTAGAATTTAAAATAGTGATAAAATAGCGAACAAAATAGTAAAAAAATAGTTCAAAATTCTTATAAAATAGTATAAAAATAGTATAAAAATAGTAATAAAATTGTAATAAAATAGTCGAGAGTCATAACAGTTCTAAAATGATTAATAAAATAGT